TGAAAAAACCTGTTTTAGCAATTTTTTAATTCTATTTTCTGTTTCGTGGATTTTGGTTTTTAAAGCATAGGAAATTCACTCCAAGAAATGTAGAGAAAACACTACCATATTTGTTTGATTTATTTATTGTCTACACATGAGAAGGGGGCTTACATAGTGGAATATATATATATAATAAATATACAAATAGAAGGTGGCCAGCTATGATTTCTTAGGACTGTCTCTACACATGTGCACCAAAAGACTAAAGTTGAATTTATTTATTTTTCTTTGAATAGTTAAAGTTGATTCATATAATTTGGTTATTGTAGGAATGTGATTCTGTACATTTGAAGGTGGAATTGTTAATATAAATTCCATACCATGTTTTATGTATTTAGGAGCTTAATTTATGGGTTTTAATTGATTTTGATTTCTAATTTAGCTTACTAGTTTTTAATGAATAATTCTATGCATACTAACAATCTTAATAAAATTATAAATGGTTAGATGTGATTGGTTATCAAAAAAATAACAAGATTTAAACCACCAATAATATTTGGACATGGATTTTTTAGTAGGATTGTTTTTTTGTTATTTTTGTTTTTTGTTTTAGAGAAGGGGAGGTGGTTGTAGCCCATTGTTTGTCCCATTGTCATGCCAACAATCCCATTGTCATATGCTATGAGGTCCTACGAAGAACAAAAGAAAACTAAAAGGAAAATAATTAGAAATACATATTCACTGATCAATCTCGAGTTCCCTCTTAATCATGACATTCTATAAATGGGTATTCTTGGGAGGTATCATGTCTTGTTTTTATAGTTTCTCAACATTTCACATAGGGTTGGTACATCTTAAAATGTTTCGTTTCTGCATATACCATAACTTTTAATTAATGAGGTCATGCATTGAATTAAACTCTATACTATTAAAAGTCATCAAGATGAGCTATCTATGACAGTGATTATGAATCTTGACCTGATATGGATTCGAGCAGAAAATTATTAGATTGAAAACAGTATCATGTGGAAAAAGAACAAAAAACTATTCCTTTATCTGGAGCTGTTTTGGATTAACATTTAGTTCATGATACCATTCATTAGAGAGAATGTTTAGATTCTCCATTTTTTTATGATATTCACTTGTTTGATTGTGTTATTTATTTTGGATAGTTTGGGGATTATACCATATAAAGTTCTTGTGGGAGTAGAAATGTAGTTGTGGGCTACTTAATACAAAGTTTATGATGTCCATTATCCATTTGAGATTTAACTCAGTACAAGCAAGGAGTTTAAAGTGGAAAATTATGAAGCATGTTAAAATAACAATATCTTATGCCCGTATGTGGCCATATTTGTTCACTACTTCCTGCGAAAAAATGTGAACTTAAAATATTGGTTCCTGAAAATTACATCTTGTTTTGTACTGGTGTAGGTCTTTATGTTTACTCATCCAAAGTACTCAATTACAAGAAGCAATCAGCGGTAGATGAAGCTTCAGTTTGAGATGCCCAATGACACTGGATCAGCCTTGGTTCATGGTATGTGGTTGCCTAAGACTTGTCACTGTTTTAAACACAAATAACTATGCCTAGCATGCTATATGGTTGAGGAAGTACAGGAGTCTACTCAAAATGAATGCCCAGGGTTAGCCATTCCACAGAAGGGACCTTGTCTTTATCGCTGCTGCTTGCAACTTCCAGAGTTTTCTCTTGTATCAGAAACCTTTAAGAGAAAGAAGGACGCAGAACAGTCTGCTGCAGAGATGGCGTTACTGAAGGTTTGTTTTGTTTTTTTCTTGTGATTTTTTAATCATTTTTGTTTTTGTTTGCTTGATTTTTGACTTTGGCTGCATGTTGGCTGTGCACTGTTTAGGGCCATTGGGTTTCACTTATTTAACTTAAAATTTGAAATCATATGCTTAGTTGTACTCAAAATGAATGCCCAGGGTTAGCCATTCCACAGAAGGGACCTTGTCTTTATCGCTGCTGCTTGTAACTTCCAGAGTTTTCTCTTGTATCAGAAACCTTTAAGAGAAAGAAGGACGCAGAACAGTCTGCTGCAGAGATGGCGTTACTGAAGGTTTGTTTTGTTTTTTTCTTGTGATTTTTTAATCATTTTTGTTTTTGTTTGCTTGATTTTTGACTTTGGCTGCATGTTGGCTGTGCACTGTTTAGGGCCATTGGGTTTCACTTATTTAACTTAAAATTTGAAATCATATGCTTAGTTGTACTCAAAATGAATGCCCAGGGTTAGCCATTCCACAGAAGGGACCTTGTCTTTATCGCTGCTGCTTGCAACTTCCAGAGTTTTCTCTTGTATCAGAAACCTTTAAGAGAAAGAAGGACGCAGAACAGTCTACTGCAGAGATGGCGTTACTGAAGGTTTTGTTTTGTTTTATTCATGTTTTTGTTTTTTGTTTTTCTTGTGATTTTTTAATCATTTTTGTTTTTGTTTGCTTGATTTTTGACTTTGGCTGCATGTTGGCTGTGCACTGTTTAGGGCCATTGGGTTTCACTTATTTAACTTAAATTTTGAAATCATATGCTTAGTTGTACTCAAAATGAATGCCCAGGGTTAGCCTATTGTTGTTTGTCTCTCATGCCCATGGGAAATCACTAATTGACTAATCAAAAGAAAATTTTCTTATTTGTGTTTTTTTTTTTTTCCTTCTTTTTCTTTTGTTGCAGCTAGGTATCAATGCTGCAACTGATGATACCACTGTACAGGATCCTTGGGATGAGTTGGTTTCGCGTCTCTCATATTTATTTTCAAATGAGGTAGGTTGCTTATATTGAAGTAAATAATGACAAACTAGCTTCCATTTTACATAATGAGAAGTTATCCTTCTTTGTTAATGTCTCGAAATCACTGTATTGTGTTATTTCATTTTATTTTTATAATTTATAAGCACGTTGCCTTTCAGCTTTGTTACTATAATATAAACATTTTTTTTTGTAGATAAACCTTATAAACATGTTTCCCTCCAAAAGAAGCTCTTATGTTTATGTTGTCGTTCTAATTTTTGTTTTGAATGATTCATGAAATCTAGTGTATTTGTTTTATCTTGTGGAAAGAGATCCACAAGCTTGATGTTATGGTGACATGTGGGGATAAAATAAGCAAATTATAGCTTATTTTAATTTGGGAGTTTGTGGCAGACTGTTTGGTGTAGCTTCTGCATATAGCTTATTAGGCAGAGATATCTTAAATAAGCTGATTTTCCAAAAGCTGCGGGAGGAGTGCTTTTAGCTTATGCTTTCTGATTATCAGCTTTTAGCTTAAAATAATCTTCACCGAACACCCCCAATGTTCTTACAGACCCTCTTGTGGAATCTTAGCTTGATATTATAGTACATAGATAGCTATTTTGTTTTTTGAGATCTCATCTGGTTTCAGTGGCTACATTTCTCTGCTAAATTTGAAGATGACATCATTGACTAGGCTAGGAGTCATTACAGTAACATCTTGCATCACATTTCCTATCCACCTGTCAATTTTGTTTTTGGTTGTTTGAGATGTGCAATGATTTTGCATCAAAAAAATCCTTATACTTATTTCTTGGTTGCTACACAGTTGATTATAGTTGGATTTTATGATACATGGATTGCTATTTTTGTCTCATCAAAGAGATATCCTCTTTTATAAGTGGCTGCACTGCTCTACTAAATTTGAGGATAACTTCATTGACTTAGGCTAGGAGTTAATACATTATTAATGGGTCAAATGAAGATAGGGATAATACAATGAAAGACATACTTGTTCTTTCTCGCTGACTACTAATTTTCATCACCCCATGTTTCTCAGAGAGTGTAATGTGTGATGGACATCTCTTTTTGAAAAAGTTAATCAATCAAATATGCAACTCAGCCTTTCTTTTGTGTTCTTGTATGGGCGATGGACCATTTTTTACTGATGAAACAGTGCATTTCATTGTTTTGTTCTCCTGACTTCTTAGTTAACTTACGTGTTATGTGAATGGGAGAAGTTTTGAACAATTTATAATCCCCAAGCCCAATAATTCTTCATTGGTGCAACTTCTGCTTGTCAAAATTAGGTTTTATTACTTGACGACTTTGAGGAAAAGCTATTAGCTTGGCTTATGTGTAAGTCATCTAGTAGCTTAATCTTCTGTTTATATTCTTATGGAATCAGATTCTGTTGAAACTGAGCATATCATATAATGCATTTTTAGTTAATCTTGGTATATGTTAAGCACCTGTACTGCATCAATTTATTTGAACATTGAAAGATTGGATTGACAGTGCTTTTCTTTATTTTTGTGTCATTTGTGAAGTTCCTTAAATCTCTTCATCCCCTGAGTGGTCACTTTAGAGCAGCTTTGCAGAGAGAGGGTCAACTCAATGGTTTAGTTCCAATTTCTGTCCTTGCGTCTATGATACAAAGTTCAGTAGTTTATGTAAAAGCATAAATCCTAAGGTTGAGTCAAATCCACTGTTGATTATGTCACTTATGCTGAAGGCCGCTTCAAGATTATCTGGTGCTGTGTCTGCTTCTAAAGAACAGCTGTCGATGAAGAGGGAAAATCCATACCCTCCTGAGATTGTACAGTCTGTGGTTGACCAACAATCAAGCTTACTGGACTCTATTTTGATTAAAGTGGTGCAAATTCCGTACTCAGTTGAGAAGATTGTTGAACCCTTAACCCTTAAGGTTGCTTCAAATGGCTATTACTTGGATATTATTGCTCAGGAGCTTGGTTTAACTGATGCTTCTAAGGTTTTGGTTTCCAGGTAATGTAAAGCATAAATTTTAGTATTATGTTTTATTGTGCAGATTCTCATTCTTGAATATCTTTTTATATGAATTTTCATGTTTCCTGAGTCTCATTCTTAATTCTTTTATTAGATGAATATCTAACTGCAGCACTCATTAAATGACAAAATGAAGTTGATCTAATGTGGACTGTTCTATAGCAATTTTGATAGTATTTTCGAATACATTAAGACAAACTTGTGTTTACATAGTTACAAGTCATTGCCCACTTACACTTACCATAGGCAATTTACATCTTCATGACTCTTTGTGGAACCCATATTCTATGATTCTTATGCATGCTTTAGATTCTCCTATGATCAAATATGGTAGTTATCAATCCAAACTCTGCTATCCGAAAATGTGCTAGGGTTCAACTGATTAGAAATGGGAAGAAGATTGCAGCATTTGTCCCAATCGACGGTTGCTTAAACTACATTGAAGAGAATGTAAGTATTCTTCAAAAGCTTGGGATGATCATTTTGCAGTCATCCTTGGTGACTTAACCTTAAAACATTTCTTGTTGTAGGATGAGGTGTTGATTGCTGAATTTGGACGTAAGAGGCATGCTGTCGGAGATATTTCTGGTGTCAGATTCAAGGTCGTGAAGGTATCTGGTTTCTCCCTTCTGGCTCTCTTCAAGGAGAAGAAAGAGAAGCCAAGGTCTTAGTTTTGTGCGCGGAGATTGTCTATTTTTGTCTTTTGGTAGTTTTGTTGGAAGTATTGGAATGGTACTCTAGATTGTTTGAGCAGTGTTGTGGTACCTTGTAGTTGTGTTAGATCTAAGAAAGATTTCATCTGAAATTTAGATTGTTGTGTTAGGGTTTGTGTGGCCTCTTGTGTTTTCCTAATTTTGGCATGCTAATAATGGTGTCTAAAAGAACTTTTTCTATTTCTAGTTGTAATAATTTTCACATATGGCTTCAATTTTGAGACTCAAATGCAATGGCTTCAATAATTTACACACATTTTTTATTTTTTTATTTTTTATTATTTATTTATTTTTATTTTTTTGTGACGGTAACAAGATAGTCGCCAAAAAACATGTTAGCATTTTTTTTTGTTTTTTGCGACGGCAAAATTACAGTCGCCATAAGTAGTTTAGAAGGTCGCAAATCATTTGCGACCGTTGTTTGCCGTCGCAAAAAGTATTTGCCACCCCCACATTTGCGACCCCCATTTGCCGTCGCATGGGCCGTCGCAAAAGGTCTTTTGCGACTGTATTTTTATTATTTGCGACGGCTTGTAACGGTCGCAAAAACCATTTTTTTTAGTAGTGTTTCTCTCATCTCTGTATCAAGGAACTAATACTATCACTCCATATTCCATATAAACATCATGTAGTTTTAATGTTATTTTGAGAGAAGTGCCTTCTGAAATTTTGTACTTAAGATTGCAAATGTACCTTTGTATACTTTGTGGAATTTGCTGTTAATTTATCCATGAACTTTCCAATAAATGTCAATTTAATCTGCTTGATGCTAATGTGTATGGGTCATCTATTCCAACCATGATGAAACTCAATGGCAGGCCTAAAGTCAATAAAGATAGTTTTTTAATCATCTGAATCCTTCCTGACTTGTTCCAAAATCTATGGTGTCAATGATGTGAAGGACTATAATGCATGATAGTGAATTGCTAAGGGTAGTTCTAAGAGATATATATTTGCTTTTAATTTATTGCTCATATTTTACTAGTTAATTTAACATCCCTTTCTTGCTCACATTTTAATGTGAATATTCTTTGCTTGTGTCACATTGGTGCGGGATTAGATATACTTGGTACCTTTTGAATTATGTTATGATATTTTCTACCGCTTCTTGAAAACTATGGAATCAGGTGTGTATGTCAATGGGGTTTTTTGTCTTCCCTCACATGTTACTTCCCCTTTCTTATTTTATTGTACATATGTGATTCTATAAAAACATTTCTTGCTATTATTCTTATTATTTGGGCAATATAACTAGGGGTGGCTGTTGTGCTTGGTATATCAAAGTTTTAGACCAAGCATTGTATTACTAAAATTTTAATATTGTAATTTTTTTTATATGTTTGACAGATTGACAATGGATGGAACGTGGTTCGGGAATGTATTTTATTATTAATTGTTGTTTCTTTATCCAAAACTTATGTTGATTTTGTTCTTGCAGGTGTGAAAGTTCTTGAACATGTGTCAAGGGGAGTTGATTGGGGAAGCTTGATATTTTTGTGGTGGATACGCTCTTGGGACTAGTGATGCTCAGATATCTATTTCAGAACTGCAATTATTAGGTAGATAAAAGAATATGAATACAGATTTAGAGGTTTGATGCTTTAACTAGAGGATCAACAACTGGCATGACCTAAGCAGAGTGACATAGAGACATTTTTATGCTTCAAAGGCTCTACCTTTGTTAGATTCATGTTTCAAGCCTCAATAACAAATTTACTGGTCAAATCATGTGTGAAATTGAGATAGCCAAATGTCATAGGATGATATATTTCCTTCTTTTTAATTTTACCATTCTATCTAAAGTCAATATGGATGTAATGATTCATTTACTTCTCTCTCTCTCTCTCTCTCTCTCTCTCTCTCTGTCTCTGACACACACACACACACACAAATTCACACAATCAAACAACAATGAATTGTCAACACGAGCACGTCACTCAAGGCTAAACAAACAACACCACGTTACAACTTTTTGTTAGGAAATTTGCAAAACTTAAGGCCTAAATGGTTCGTTCAGGAGGCAAACTTGTAAAACAACCACGAAATCAATCAAACATCAACATGAGCACGTCACTCAAGTCTAAATAAACTTGTAGAAACAAACAACAACCCACTCAAGTCTAAATAAACTTGTAGAAACAAACAACAACCCGATTAGTCTATTTGATGCTGCTGTAGTCTTTACTCTATTTGATGCTGCTGTGTTACTACTGTTGTTTACTTATATTGCTTTCTTAGTGGATTTATGTGTCTCATTTGTCTGAAACTAGTGTCTCCTCAAAGTGCTATATATGGTGACTTTGATGTGCTGCTCTATTTTATCCATTATTTTTTTTGGTGATTCTTGCTTAATTCCCTTTATGCATGCTGATGAAGTGCTTTTAATATTTGTTTAATTAGAGAGATTAATTCTTTGTCAATGAAATTAATTCTTTTTCCAATTAGGGAGACGCAGGAGCCAACTTCCACCATACTTGATCCTTATCCAAATTAACTTCATCTCAGCTTCTGTAATTTAGAAAATTATCATATGGGTGGTTATATGTTTGGTTAATGATATTTTATAAAAACATTTCTTGCTATTATTCTTATTATTTGGGCAATATAACTAGGGGTGGCTGTTGTGCTTGGTATATCAAAGTTTTAGACCAAGCATTGTATTACTAAAATTTTAATATTGTAATTTTTTTTATATGTTTGACAGATTGACAATGGATGGAACGTGGTTCGGGAAGCATAAGAGGATTACAATTTAAATTTTTGGATATATTTTGTCATAAGATTTTGTATCTTGGAAGTTTTTTTGGAATCATTATGTACATGTTTGAAGTTTCGGATTGTAAGAGATATGCTTATGTTGGATGTTTTGGATTTGATAATTTGATCAAGTGTGTTAATTTGAATTATATTTTCCTTATGTTTATAGGTTTATGAATTATTTATTGAACAGGAAAAGTGTAAAAAAAATAATAATAATTAAAGAATTTTTGGTGACAAGTTTTTTAGTAGTAAATTTACTTTTGGTGACACTTTGTTTCTGTTGCTAAAAGTTGTGTGAATAATTTTTTTAGTGACCCAAAACTTGATTTGTCGCCAAAAGTTTTAACATTCAACAACCAATTCATTTAGTTGTTGGAAGATATTTTTAGCGACGCATTTATATGTCGCTAAAACCTAACGTGTCATCCGCTTAAGGCTACTTTTAGTGACCAAATGTTAATTTATGGCGACAAAATTTTAGTCTTTTGGCGACTGAAATATCTGGTCGCCGTTTTATTTATAAGGCGACCATAATTTATTTGGTCACTGAACCATTTAGTGACAGGGCTTCAGCGACCAATTTTATTGATGTCGCGGATACTTTCAGCAACCAAAATTACACTTTTGGTGACTAAAAAAAAGGTTGCTAAAAGTGTTTTTTTTTTTTTTTTGTGTGAATAACTATGAACTTGAAATCAAGACTCAAGGAGAACCTTTGTTTGGCGGTTTGGTTATCTTCAATTGACAAAAAATGATATATTTGAATAATTTTTTTTACAAAAACAACTATTATTATAACTAAGCTATTCTTAGAACATGCAAATAGAAGAAGAATACCCCATAAATACCCTTGCTCCAAAATTTAGGGTCGAGTGGTTGATTTGTAACTTGTTATTTGGTTAAATTAGTTGACTTACACACACATGCACACATATACACACTTGTTTGCTTGGATGTATGAAGTTACTACTATACTAGTTGTTTTCTTCCCTATATATGAAGTATCCACGCATATGGTTGAATGACACAAGGCAGTGTTTTCAAATTGACAGTTTGAACTTTGCTGTTTGCAGAGAATAGTTGACGAAACCAAAAGATGTCTGTAATTTCGTGGGAAGTTTCTTAAATCACTTCAAATTTGTGAAGTTGTATGAGGTGTGACATTGAAGGTGAGTGTCCAGTTGAATAATCTAGTGATTACTTCAGATAGCAAGATTTCTTCTTCAACTTTTTTGCGTACTGTGGAGCTGCTCTTTAAAAAGTTAAAACAAAATCTCAAGAGTTGCTGCTCTTCTTCCAAACTATGTAACAAGACTATAAAGGAGTGCATGTTTCTTGTTTCCATATACTATTTTTTTATCTATTAGGGTAGGTAATTACAAGGATTGTTGGAATCAGCATTGTTGCATGATTGAGAGGTGGAAAACCTTTACAGGATTCTTTCAAAAAATCCTTGTTATTGGGCAATGAAAGTTTACATCAATAACCACTTCTGGTTCTATTTTTCTTTTTCTTTTTTTTTTCTTTTTTTTTTGGTGACAGCAAAACGTCAATCGCCATAAGTAGGTTAGACGATCACAAATAATTTGCGACTATGATTTTGCGGTCGCAAAAAGTATTTGCCACCCCTACATTTGTGCCCCCCATTTGCTGTCACAAAAGAACTTTTGCGATTTTATTATTATTATTTGCGACAGCTTGTAGCGGTCGCAAAAAATACTTTTTTTAGCCTATTTTGGTCGACTAATGTGAGTGGTGAAACACCGACTAACAACTTTAGTCAGCAAAAGTATTAGGTATTTTTCCCAACCAATTACTTGGTAGAAAAAAAAAAAAAAAAAAAAACAACAACAACAACAACAAATTTTAATCGTCAATTCAATTCTTTTTGTTTATCAGAATAGAAATAAAATATCAAAAGAATTCTATTTGACCTACATGATATAATAATCAACAATGATAGAGGGCCCTAATTTTTGTGGCTCAAATGGCTTGAATTTGCCAAAACGACGTCGTTTTGAGTACAAAACAACATCAAAATTGCCAAAACGACGTCGTTTTGGCAAATTTGAGCCATTTGAGCCACAGAAATTAGGGCTCTCAAACATTTTCCTATAACAATCCATCCAATACATTCAATATAACTTGTAATTTGCAAGAATCATTCAAACCAACAAAATCAACTGAATCATAAACATCCAACAAAATACATAAATCATCAAATCCTTAATTTGTTTAATTAAAGTCATCAACTATTTAAAGTTTTCATCCAAAAGTAATTCAAAACTGCATAACCATTCAATCCAAAATGTCATGTAATCTATGTAATCATCTGTAGCAAGCCCGCGGGGGACCTCGCCACAGCTCGGACTCGACTTTCGTCTAGTCACGGTTCGTAATCTGAACCAAAGAGTCCAAATCCGGCAAATCGTTTTGAGAAAACAGATTTTTGAAAGAAGTGCCAAACATGGACTGCTTTGCCAGATACAGAGTCGCCACCTAAATATTTTATTTTGGGAAATTTAGGAAACCCTGACTCGTTGCCAAAGGCCACGTGTCCGTCATCACCAAAGTTGCCTCGGCTCGGGAACTTGGGTACGATTGGGGAAGGTCACTTCGTGAGCACCCCCGCTCGCCCGGTCATAGACCGGCCTCTACTAACCATGATATCTATTTTTGAAAAACATTGTGAGTTCTTATTCCAGTTTATTAGCCTAGGTTGCTACGTGATGCACACAGCATACAAATATAGACCGGGTCGCCTGAACTGGAACGAAACATTTCATGTTTGTTTATTTGAAAGATGGTTTGCTACCCGCAAGTAGGCTTTAAAATGCAGATTTTGCCACCCGCAGGTGGGCTTAGAAAAGATGGTTTTGCCACTATCTAGTGGGCTTAAAACAAATAGTTGATGATTTATTCCAATCCAAATAACCCAACCTTCACCCACAGGCATTCAGGCAGTTAGTTGTTGGGTGCAACCAGGGGTGGGCTCTGTGGTCCGTAGATGGGTTGGTGGAATGGCCAGGCGCATTGACCCGGGCATTGAGTCTCCGAGTTGCCAACCCAAATATAGGCAAACTTGTAATTCTTGCCCTTAACTTGGGTAGCTTTGGAAGATCCGTGTGTGCCGCACCTGCTGGAGCAAAACCCATCAACGATGACATCAGACGCGGTCAAGACAACATTGACAGCATTCATTTGATCACCCTTCGATGCCAATTCTACAATCTGTTTTTGTGTGAGCGATTTTCCTAGCGAGTAATTCTCGTCAAGAATTTGCTTACCCGCAGAGATTGAGAGGAAGGGTGCTTTATTCTTGGAGTTGGGAATCTGGTAATATTTATCGGTGGTCTTCCACCAGGTGGCAACGGAGGGTTGGTTGTTGGATGGGTTAGACGAGAGTGAGGTAACGAAATCAGAGACTATGGCACGTTGGGAGGGCTTGAAATTGCCGTACCAAATGAGATTGATTGAGATTTTGCCAGTGAGGAGAGGACCATTGTGGTATTCGAAGAGAATGGGTTGCTGGGTTTGTGTTGACTCAGTGAGTCGCCTCGCTTCGGATGGGAAATGAAGGGTTGAAACTAATAGCAGGAAGATCTGTAGAAACAAATTGATGGAAATACAATTAATTGCCATTGAATTGGAAGATTCAATTCAAGACCACAGCTATGGAGGATTGGAATGAGTTGCGACTGTTTTTTGTAAGGGTGAGAGAATGATGAGTGAGACAGAAGTGAAGTGAAGGTGCAATATATATACATATTGTGGAGGTAGTAAGTGAGGAGAGAAAAGGGGCGTGGAAAGTGCGAGAGGAGTGAGATGTTGACTAATGGGCAATTAGTGCAACGCCAGCTTCATAACGCGTTGCCTATTTTAATGATTTTTTAATACTACAAGTTGTCCCCATGTATATCATTCCAACTGTCCCGTAGTATTATCTCGACCGAAAATACAAGCTGTTCCACACACAATTGGGTTCGAAAGAGACAAGAAGGGCCATGAGACGGAACCCTTTGCCTAACTGCAATGCAATGGTGTTTTCATTCGTGAGATGTCGGTTCAAAATAAAGGATTTTTTTTTCGTCCAAATTTTGATACATTTTGTGGTTATTCTTGCTATTACTTAACAATTAACATCTAATTCCATACAAATGTAGACTGTGTGACCAAAAAAAAAAATATACACTCTATCATTAATTCTTGTCATTTTGGTCTTTGCCCGGTTTTTATTATGGATTATTTTGAGAAATTAGTTAAAATTTGATTTTTTTATTTTTTTGAGAAATTGGTTACAATTTGATTTTTTTAAATAAGGAGGTAATGTGGCTCAAAATATGTTTAAAGTCAAAATTTGATTTTTAGTCAAGTCCCAAATTAAGCTTATATTATCAGGTGTTATTAATGTATTCCTACTCACTTTGTATAATGATTAATTTTAACTTGTTAATTTTGTTTACAATTCAAATCGTATTATTGTGTTGTGTGAGAGTTTCTTACAGGTAGTTTCAACTATGGCGAATTATACTAACAGTCCCTATAGTTTGGGACTTGTGTTACTTTGGTATTTGACTTTTCAATTGTAATAAATTTGATCCTGAATTTTGAATATTGTGATACATTTGATCCTAAATTTTGAATCTTGTTTCAAATGAAAACAATTGAAAATATTGTTGCTCCGTTTGAAAGGTAAAATTGTCATATAACTTATTTTGTATTAGTTAACTTATATATTGTTTGAAATATAATGTATTTTTTTAATGAACAATGTTAAAACTTTTTTTATTATGAAGTTCTGTTTGGTTTGGTTTTCGGAATCTATTTTCAGAAAAATTTTCTAAGAAACTAAAAATTAAATTAGTGAAAAAATTAAAAACACATTATTTTTATATAATTTTATCTTTTGAGAGGGTAGAAATAATTTTTTTTGATATTTATTTTCATTAAATTAATTTTTATTTTTTTAAAAAGTCAAACATGGCGATAATTTTGATATCATTATTAAACAAATCCATTAAATCAAAAAAATCCACAACTAAAAACATTACATATATTAAACATATCAATTATAACCATTCATTACATGATAACCATTTAAAAATATCTGTTAACAACAAATACAGTCATCTACTACATGATAACTATCAAAAAATATTAACAAAACCAACCACTCATTACATGATCATCATCCAAACACATACAAAAATTAATTTGGTAAAAAATAAAAAAAAATTATCATTTTTATATAATTTTATCTTTGGTGCGTAAAAATAAATTTTAAAAATGTAAAAATAATTTTTTCACATTTATTTTTGTCAAACTAATTTATATTTTATCAAATTAACAACTTTGCTCTTGAAATAGAGCAACAATTCATTCAATTGTTCTTATTTGGAACGCTATTCAAAATTTAAGGTCAAATATGTTACAATTGAAAAATCATAGATCAAAGTGACACAAATCCGAAACTAGAAGAACCGTTAATGTAATTCACCATTTCAACTATCTATCCCACCTTTTTAGAATTGTACTGTCATAAAACTTAAAGGTTAATGCTGCAAGCCTCGAGAGCTTCTGGCACGAATAGTGCGAATTTGTAGTCACCGTTCGACAGACCGGACAACCACTCGATCGACCGGGTGAAATACTTGTCTACCGCGGTTGTTATCTTGTCGACCAAGGCTGTCAGTCTCTTTGCTGGATGACCGGCCAGACGACCGGCCGAATGACCGGTTAAACAAATTCAAGGTAAATTTGTGCCTCAATATTCGAGGCCTGTAGCACGACTTTTAAATTGAAATATAATTTTTGAAAGCTTTTTCAATAGAAGATTAATTACATGAACAATTGCTCTGATTTACGAAATTACAAGGACTTAGCTCACTTTAATTAGCAATATATATAGACTTGTTCTTCATTAAAGTTGCCAATAGAATATTAAAAATTCTAATATCAACAATTTTTAAAATTTAACGCTAAATTGTACCTTATAACCAAACACCCTTTCAAAGCTAAACAACTCGATCCATTCTAATTACCCAATTATGTTTGTTTGGACGAATATGTATTTGGGATTGGACTAATAATCTAATAAAATTATTAATTCGATATTTGGTTAAAAAATTGAAGTACGAACTAAAAATCCATCCGGATATAATATCTCACATATGATGGACTATTCAATCCCGTATAGGAGGTGGGATATAAATTGGGAAATTAAGTTAAAGTCTGGACTAACTTATCAAATGACCATAATAGAGCTTTTATGGTTAATATATTAGATGTCCCATATCCTATCCATTCCAATCCCCTTAAACAAACATCGGATTGAATAATATTTTTTTAATCACTCCTTATAATCTTAACTCAATCTAAACGTAGAATAGAATACACAATTCAAAAGATTCGTAGTCCTAAGACTATTAATCATGAAAATGTTAATCTAACTTAATCTAGTCCGTCCAAATAAACATAGGCAAAAATTCCATCCATTCTTTTACAATTCCCACAACCAAGCACGATCCTCCCTTTTTGTAGCCTCCATATAAAATTGGGAAAAATATCATTCAACTGCAATGTAGAAAAAATAATAACATATTAATGAAAAACTTTGAAACGTTAAAAAAATAATTTTATAAATTTTTCTATGAAGTTGTTTTTATTTTTGAAAGAAAGCACTGACATGTTATTTCCCCTATAAGATTTACCACCACACCCATCATCCATGGTCACTGATCACCATCACAACAATCAGTATCGTCGCAAGCTAAATCACCATCACGGCAGTACCACAACGATCTATCAACGATTTTTGCGGCCCCACTATTATGCCGATCATAAGCCATCACAATTAATTTGGCATTTAGTAAACCATTAATAATTTTCAAAACTTGATAAGATATGTAAATTTACTCTATTTGAAATTGCGATATTACTTTTAATTTTAATATGGTTGACATTTTTTCTTACTGAGACACACACTAGCACCATTGTAACTAACATGGATCATATGATTGGGGAAATAAAATAGCAATGTTATGCAATACAAAAATAGTGCTTAAAAAATGATTCAATAACAAATAGAAAGACTATGACTCACAAAAAGTGTTTTTTATTATTATTATTATTTACATCTTTTATGGAACTGTAATTTTTTGGGAAAGAAAACCTCATCCCTCTCCCATTAATTTCTTGCAACGAGAAAAAATATGTGAATAAAAAAATTCTTCTAACACTACAAGGAATTATATTTTTGTCGAACAAAAATTTAGTCGGTAAAAATCTGTTTTTAGTTAGCAAAAGTCTTCTATGACTAAATTTTTTAGTTGCCACTCTGGTCGTAAATACATGGTCGGCAAAAGTAATTTGCACTAAAAAATTCTTTAGTTGGGAAAAAGAATATATTTACCGACTTAAATTTTAGTCGTTGAATATATAACTATCGTGACTAAACCATTTTGTAACTAAAAAAAATTAGTCGCCAAAACTACTATTTTTCCGACCAAATATGTTAATCGCCAATTGTACCATTCTCCGACCAAGAATGTTAATCGCCAAAAGTAATGTTTACACGATTAAAATTTTAGTCGACAATAGACCTATTAGCAACTAAACACTTTGGTTGTCGAAATTAATGATTTAACCTACTAATTATATAGTCGCCAAATGTACCCTTTCGCTAGAGTGTAAATTTGGCCTAGCCTAACCTACCCGAGCCCATGTTGAGCTGCGCGGACTCCTACCAAAATTCAAGTCGGCCTAGCCCATGGGTTAGAAAATGAGACCCAAGCCCATAGAGTATTCGAGCCTCGAGCCAGGTATGGGCAGGTCTGAATATATTTTTTATCAAAATTTTAATCTTTTCCACTAAAAATAACACTAGGCCTTGGGTGGGTCGAGCCTCAAGCCAGGCTTTGAGTAGACCTTGAACGGGCCAATGGACCGAGCCACGGGCTGTGCTGGACTTCAAAACGATAGCCTAGGCTGATTGTCCAAGGTCCCGGGCTAGGCTTAATCGGGCCGCACCCACCCCTGGCCGCCCACGAGTCGTGGGCCATTTTTACACCCCTACCTCTCTCCTACCAACATTTGGTCGCCAAATGTGAGTGGTGAAATAACGACTAACAACTCTAGTCGACAAAAGTATTAGCTATTTTTCCCAACCAATCACTTAATCGCCAAAAGAAGAAAAACCAAACCAAATTTTGTTCATCAATTCAATTCTTTTTGTTTATCAAAATAGAAATAAAATAAGGTAAATTACACTGACGCCCTCTGACGTTTTGTTTAATACAGATCCCCTCTCACGTTTGAAAAATTCCCCTCCCTGGATTGCTGATGCCATGCTCCAAATTTTTTAAATGACTATTTTGCCCTTTTCCTACCATTTCTTCTTTCCATCATCATGACTATATTCTACAATTTTTCATCATTAAATTCTACCTGAGCATATTCTTATTGAGTAATGATATACAAACATAAATTTTATATAAAATTTTCAAACACAATGATATAGCTTAATGATGACCTTTCACTTTAAAACAAAACACTCATAAACATGATTTATATTTACAATAATATCACTATCACAATATTTTTATGATATTTTTTGTATAATTTTTTATATAAGAGTAGCATTTTTCATTTTTATTTACACCGTCATTTTCCTTTCTCATCTATGCACCAACATTTATTACAGTATTACCTAACACCGTCATTCACATGTATTACAATATTACTGAA